TGCAACGAATGTTAACAGCCTTGCAACCTAAACACTCTTTAGTGTACAGAAGCGTTATATTGCAATCGCCATAGTAACAATAATGTCATCGTCTGCAAGAAAGCATTCGTTTAAGAGTGCAAAGGATAATATGCATTTACTTCAGATGCAATAGATATCGGAACACCCTCAAAATAAACCATAGAACAGTTTGAAAAACATAAAAATGTTCCTTACAGTAGTACATTTCCGTTTAAGGGTTTCACAGATTTGTTCTGCGAAAAGTCAATTTGAAACAAATACATGCACAAAGGAAAAGAGATAACATGCATCTCTCTCTCTCTCTTTTCCTACAATACTGTTTGGTGGTATTTAATTAGAGGAAGGCTCATTGTATTTTTCTTCTTCCATTAGCTCCTTTCTCTTCTACAGAAACAAGGGATGGGGGAAAGTAAAAGAGGTGTGATGAAAGAGAAAAAAGAGAGATAGAGAAAAAGCTAAACTGAAAGTCATAAAGACCCACACTGAGAAACAAATGGGGAAAATACACTAAGAGTAGGAGAAAAATGTATTTAAAAAAACATTGTTTAGGAAGAAAAGTCACAGATGAAGGTCATGACTGCTGGCCGCTCCACTGGCCCTCCATCGGTCGACGGAGCAGTTCCTCTACATGCCTCGCTACTGAATAACTTAAAATTTTAAGGATTTGCGGCAATGCAATTTTGTCTGATATGTGAATTATTTATTAGCCTATTTTTTTATCCATGCAGCAAATGCTTTAAAAAACAGCTTTAAAATTACTTTATTGCATTTCAGACGCTTTTAAAGTACTTTTCACTATAAATTTTATGGGTAGCTTGAATGTAAAACATTGTCATGAATTCGTTGTATTCCCATTTGTGAAATAGTCAACAAATGCATTGTTGTAGGCTAACCCGATCTCATGAACGTGCGTGTAGCATGATTTTCTGCTTCTATTTGGCGTAATATTTCTATGCAGAAATTGACTTTGGCATGCAAAACACTGATAAATTCATAATTAATAGCATGACTGGTTCAGTCGACAGAAATACGGGACACACAGACCTATAATAACTGCTGAAATGTTTGCGGGGCAAATCTCAGGTCAGTCTGAGCGCTCATGGTACGCACAGTGCGTACAGCCGTACACCTGCAGGCGCCACTGCAATAACGTCAATTCCATAGGATATACAGCACATTTTAGAGGGTTATTTACTATAATAGCTGTTATTATACGTTACAGCATGTGGTGGTCCAGATGAAATCAACAAATATTTTCTGTGCTGATCTGAAGGAAAAAACTGAAGAATTGATTTAAGCATGGTAAAAAAAACTAAACATATTGGATTCATAATTAAATTACTTAACTAATAATAACAATAATAAATGTTTGCCTGATTATGGTGGTATTATTTATATACCATTGTAGTATTTATTAATGTTAGCTTTTAATTTAATTAGCTTTTATTTTTTATATCTTCAGTTTTCATTTTAATTTTAGTTTTAGTAATTTTAGTATAATTTTTAGTTGTAGTAATTTAGTATTTTTTTGTAATTTTCAGTATCAGTTTTAGTAATATTAGTACTTAGGCTTATTTTATTTCTGTTATTTGCCAAAGCATTTCTAATTGTCTACTATTTTATATTTTATTTTATTTCAATGAACAAAAATTACTTTTAATAGTTCTGGTTTTAGTTAACAATAACAAGCCAGATGCAGAATCATAAAGACAGACAGAAAACACACATATTTGTATACTCACATGGGAGGATAGAGTCCATAAGCATGTGGTTGATTGACAGCTGGAGATGCTGCATGGTCCATGTAGGTGGGGTTTGCTGCAGGGTCGGGGTTAGGTGTCGCAAACCTGCGTGAACACACATGCACACATAAATAGTCAATTATTTAACATCATCAGTGTTATTTTTAGCATTATTTATATACTGTTACAGTATTTATTCTTATTTTGAATTAGCTTTTATTTTCATATTTTCATTGTTATATTAGACTATACTTTTGTCATTTTGATTAGTTTTAGTTTTTTTGTATTTAAATTTGGTTTTAATTTTTTTTCCCAGTTAAATTTAATTTTAGTAAGTTTAGTCTTTCAACTTCAACATTTTATTTCAGTTAGTTGCAACATTTCTCTGTTTTTTTAATATTTATAAAGTTTTTTAAATATACGTTTTTCATCTAATATTGAGAAATTAGTTTAAAGTCTGTTATATATTGATACAGCTTCCCATAACAATTCCTGTCACCCTACTTTTCTCTCTCCCTCAATAAAATGCCAGAAACCTCCAAAAATAACAAAAGACATGTTCAGCTCATTCATTCTGTTCAGCTCTATTTCACAGCTTGCTACTCTGCACACAGCTCTTGCTAACCCTCAAAATTAAGAGCTAGTTTGATAATGACTCCCTCAGAATGCTGATGACTAGAACTGAATTATCTGAGACTGATGGTGTATGACTCCCTGCTGTGCATGACCGAAGTGGAAGGCTTGCTAACGAGACCAACGGGGTCATCCACCTATGGATAAATAATGCTGCTAATGAGGCTAACAGAGCTAAGTATATGCTGAGGAGTGAGTGGAGTCTCAAGTATCCATGGCAACCAATAACTGCCCATAGAGTCAGGCCAGCACTAATATGATAGCGTGCAATTAGATTTATCGCTTGGAGCTAACAGGTTAGCTCTTGAATTTCAGAGATGTGAAGACCTGTACTGAGAGGTTAGAAAAACACACAGAGACAAAGTGTGTGTGTGTGTACTTACTCTGGCACTACTTGTTTGATCTGTGGTTTTACATATCCGTCCACAGCTTTAGCTATAGAGGTGGGAAAGATAAACAGATTATTCCTAAACCATAACATAACACTGGCTCACATTATGTATGTGAATGAGAACACACACAGACAAACACAAACACGCTAGATTAGCCAGAGTGATACACTCTCATTTAAACCCAAAGACATGAACACACAGACATGCAAACACACAGGCTTGCAATGTATTTATAATGGTTTTTACTGGCTATATAATATATATATATGTATATATGTAATATTTGTGCATATAAATCATTTTGAATAAATATTTTACCATTCAAAAGTTTGGGCTTGGTAAAAAAAAATGTTTTTTGAAATATGTCAAAGCTAACCAAGGCTACATTTATTTGATCAGAAATACAGTAAAAACAGCAATATTGTGAGATATTATTACAATAAAATGACTGTTTTCCATTTTAATATATTTTAAAATGTAATTTACTCCTGTAATTTCAAAGCTGAATTTTCAGCATCATTACTCCAGACGTCAGTGTCCTGATGTGTGCTCAAAAAGATCTTCTTTTTATTAATTTTAAAAACAGCTATTTAATATTTTTGAGGAAACTATGATTTTCATGATTCTTTGATGAATAAAAGTTAATTTATAGAGTAACATCTTTGAAATATAAATCTTTCGTAACATTACAATTATCTTTACTGTCAGTTTTGATTAGTTTATACATCCTTGTGGAATAAAAGTATTAATTTCTTAAAGAGGTCATATGATGTTGCTAAAAATAACATTCTTTTGTGTATTTGGTGACAGATCTTCTTTATGCACCAAGAGCTTGCTTGTAACACTCCAAAGAGAAAGAAAAAATTTAAATTGCATCATATGACCCCTTTAAAAAACAAAACAAAAAAACATACTGATCCCAAAGACTTTGAATGATAGTTTGTGTATATATATACCATGTCAAAAAAGATTAAAAATATGTAGATAAATAGAGATCAAGCTTACACAGTGGAGGGGTGTAGTATTTGGAGAAGACCTCGTCTTTGGGCCGGTCAGGATAGAGGAACAGGAGATGATTCAGGTCGCTGATGCGATCCGCCAAGGAGCGGATAGAGAAGTCTTTGGTTGTGTATGGCATGAGGTTCCACACCATCCTTTCTCCTATGAAGAACACACATACACACTCTTTAGCAGAAGTTTTTAAATAGTTTTAAGAGCATTTAAAGCCACTGTAAGTGATTTGTTTTCAAATACCATGCATAAAATGTCCCTATTATACAACAGAATATTGTAACGTGCAATTAAGTGTGTTGAGGAATGGCAGTGGAGGAGCAGAGTAATGGTTCTACCTGCTTTGTTAGGGTTCTCTGCCACCCAGGCTATGGTGATGCCACCAATTTCAGAATCACTGAAGCGCAACAGAAAGGTTCCGTTGGGTTTGGACATCAGCATGTCCTGAGCTTGCTGTTTATTCACAAAGCCAAGAATCGCCCTGAGACATACAAGCACATAAACACAAACATGCATGCATAAAAGGATGTTTACACACACAAAGACAGAGAGGCTGTTATTGTTTGTGTACTGTTTAGTTTCATCATGATTTGTATACAAAGATTACAAGATATGGACGACTGGGGGTTGAAAGAGATCTTATCAAAGCCGCAAGAGGTCTCTCAGATCTTACTCCTGTGTTAATCCATCCATGGTTTAATGCCTTTAATGTATAGTTTTAACCAGCACTATCTCTCAATCAGCCAGTTGCCATGGCAAAGAAGCACTTCATAATGAAGATATCTATTAAAAACCACGCAAAAAATTAAATAAAATAAGAACCAGATTTAAGAATGTGATACATTATGAATAACAATTTCCAGTAGAGCAGCCAGGTGAAATGTACCGAAACTATGAGAAGTGTCCATGAATTTTCAGAATTAAACCAATGTGCCATTTTCTTGTCTGTTAATTAAGTGGATTTTCCATTTAAAGTCACATAACTGAAATACGAACAAACATCACAGTCATTTCTTTGTGAGATTCACCCCGCTGGTTCATACGGCATAAACGGCAGCATTCTCAGCTGAGATGTCATTGTTATGTGAGGGCAGAGAGGAGCAACGGCTTTTATGCTATTACTTTCTGCTCGTTCATTGACTGAGCAGGAACAAAAAGTTTTTTTTTAGCTTTTACACTTGGATGAATTGTTATCATTAACATTAAATCTGCAGGAATTTGATTTATATGTTCGTGTTCTCACAGAGGTCAGTTCTTACCCGTCATTCCAGTGAGGCTTCAAGTGTTTTTTAGTAAGCTCCATCACACCATCAAACCACTGCCAAAAAGTGAAGTTCCTGCCTGGTAAACTCTCCTACAATGACAAGAAACAAATCAGGTTTAAAAGACTAACATGCACAGTAAATGAGTAATGATGCTGAGAAAACAACAACTACAGATTTACCTAAATTTGTATTCTGTAAGTTCTAAAAACAAACAACCAAAACAAAACTGAGGCATCTCAACCTCTTTGACAGATTTAGCATTTGCAAGCTTTATTTACATTGTTATTGCTGATTATGTTGTCACACTTAGTAACTTGAGAAATGTGAGATTAAAATAAAGGGAACACTTTTCATAGAGCTGATACAACTTAAGAAATCTTCTTACAGTTACTTAATATAGATGGTTATTTGTTACAATCAGATTTTAAATCATGTCAACTTTACTCACGGCAATCCAAACCTGTACGACTTACTTTCTTTATAACAAAAAGAAAAAGAGACTTTGAGAAAAAAATTTTCTCCATACAATGAAAGTCAGTGGTCACTTAAACTGTTTGGTTACCAACATTCTTTTAAATCTCATATCTTCTTTCATGTTCCGCAGAAGAAAGAAAGTAATACATGTTGAGTAAGGTTCACTTACAATATTTACCTACATAGATTAATTTTATTAGTTACATCTACTTTTTGTAGAGTGTGTGTAAAGATCTACAGTGTTAAATAAGCCCTAGTAGCATGTTGTGGACTAGAACCTCATCAAAGCATGTATGAAGCTTGTTTCCTCACAGATGCTTAACAGTTATGAAAAACAAAGCATGGAATTATGAAAGAACAATCTGCTGAATTCCTGGTACGTGTTCCTCGCAAGTGATGCGTTCATTGGAAATGGATATGGAGTTGACACAAATCAGACAGTACACAGCTAGAAGTGTGCGCGGTAAAGGGAACATTCAGGGCTTAAGAAACACAGGCATGACTGCCTGAATGAGAGCATGATCCACTGCCTCATGTTCATTCTGTTTTTAATTAGTGATCCACAAGCAAAGTCACATTACTTAGGACTCAAGACAGGAAGCGTTCATCTCCATCTCTCTCACTTTAATCACTCTATTTCTTAGAACACAATGGTCCTGACCGTTTCAACTGTTAGCATGAAGATCACACAGAGCCACACAAACACACAGATGTCTCTTGAACATGTACAATGGGGTTCAAATGTGAAAATTTGGAATTTAGAATCTAATTTAAACATGGAAATAAATAGTCAAGCCACATTTATTTCTATAGCATTTTATATAATACAGATCGTTTCAAAGCAGCTTCAGAAAAGCAGGAAAATAAAGAGAGTTAATGCTTGTTATTAAACAAATTGAATTTCATTATTAATACCGTCATTATTCAGCTATTTAGTTCCGTTTTGATTTATTTTATTTATTTCAATAGTGTCAATGTTGAAAAGTGTCAAATGTTGCAAAATGTGGCAAATGTTACAGTGTCAAATGTTGCTGGCTGGATATATATTATTCTGCATTATTAGGTCACTAAACAAAATAAGCAATTTGTGACATTTGTAAATTTGTGATCTAATAGTGCAGAATATTCTGATCTTGTTTCCATTTAAGCTTTAGATGTTCTTTATAGCATCTCAAATCATCATCAGGCTTCCCACAAACTTTGTGCAAGTGTGTGCATATGTGAGCATTGTGTCAGTGACTAAATAAACAAAGCCATAAACACAAACGATGCCTGAACTCCAAAGGCCCTTGTTGAGAACACTGCCCGCTCAATGTAGCAGATCAGCAAAGGGCCGTTTCAAAGGCAGCCACAGCCTTAGGCCTGCCTACACATCAAAAGCTCTCAGATCACACCTCACTTCCTGAATAACCATTAACTATTGCAATGGACGAAAAGCAATGTCGATCAGATCAACTAACTTTCTGCCCCAGGTCGATGGATTGCCAATTAAAATTAAGAAAAAGTCGAGGACGATGAGAGACTAGTTTGGGATTAAACCATCTGTGAGAACATTGCTCGATAACGGCGGTGCTTTTGGGTAACAAGCAGCAGGTCACAGTCACGGTCAGAATTTGTTGCGAAATAATAGGCCATATTGCTTTCAGCTTAATCAAAGCTCATGTAAAGCTGTCAAAACCATGATTTCATGAGTAATATTGAAGTACAAAACTGATTATATTCAATACGGAGTGCAACTGAATGCAGGGGTCTTTATGTGTCATTATGACTGATATTTTTACTGGTTTAAAATTGCAACTTACATTTCAAACCCAATATTGTCAGTTTGCCTATTTATGTTTCAACACTGAAAATAGTTTAAAAAGTTTGGGATCAGTAAGATTTTTTTATTTATTTTTTGAAAAACACATTAAATTGATTTAAAGTGACAGTAAAGGCTTTTACATTATTACAAAGGACTTTTATTTAGAATAAATGCTGTTCTTTCAAACTTTGTTCATCAAAAAATGCTGAAAACAAGGTATCACAATAATAAGCAGTACAACTGTTTTCAATATTTATAATAATAAGAAATGTTTCATGAGCAGCAAATCAGCATATTAGAATGATTTCTGAAGGATCATGTGACACTGAAGACTGGAGTAATGATGCTGAAAATTCAGCTTTGCCATCACAGGAAAAAGCGTATTTACCCTGTTAAACTGTGACCAGGTCATGGTCATGTTGCGGTAGTCCTCCGGGTTGATGCAGGAGCTGCTGAAGGCTTTCTGAGCGAGAAAGACAAGATTCTCCTCAGACAGACCTCGATTTGATTGCACCTCCGCCTTGTACTTCATATTCAGAGCCTCACACAACTGCGGCCATAACACCTTGTCGGGCACAATGAAAGGCACCCGTCCCTGAGAGAGAACAAGAAAATTAGTACATTATCATAAACTTTAACCTTTTACAGTTGGAAAGTGTCTCATTAGGCAGGTTCTCAGTGGGTCACAATCACTTTGCTTTTAAGGTTGTTTTTTAGGACAGGAACAGGGAAATTTCATGGCAGTGTAGAGGGATATATTACATCAACTCCTGCACTCATCACATCCTGCTTGATTTGCATAAGCATCTAACATGTTCTGTATGGATGCCACTCCCTGCTGCCTCGAAGAAAACCATATTGGTGACTCATGATGATCTGATATTACACAAAACCTGTACGGACTTCTATGTACTACTTTTAAATGCTTTTATTGTTATTAACTCACTTCTCCATTTGTGTTCCAGGGAAGAAAAAAGTTATACAGGTTTGAAATGACATGAGGGTGAGTAATTGATGACAGGATTTAAATTTATGGATGCACTGTTCCTTTAAAGAGAATAAACGTAGAGCATGTACAGTAAAGGAACGTGAGTCAGATGCCATCAGCCATTCAATCAACACCCACGCTATGAAACATGACCCCTGGCAGACACTATGGGGACTGCCGCCAGCAGGACCAGTGTCTGAAGCATGTGTGAAACAACTCCAATCCCATTGGCCCATGTAGCCCGTGACGTCACAGGCGGGTGCACGGAAGAGAGCACCTGCTGGCCCAGAAGTATAAGAGGGCGCCTACCAAATACGTCACCAACTTTTATTTTCTTCACGAGCCGTTTGTTTGTCAGTAAGTGTGAAGATGTTATGGAGAAAACCGAGGCAAGTGAGCGTTTTAGAAAGTGTGTGCCTCCGTGTCCGAGGTTTCTGACACAAGTGGTTGGGCTGCCCCCCTTATCAGGGTTTTTCAAGTAGGCAGCCCCCTGAGCCCCTTTTCTAGGGTTTTAAGTAGAAAACTTAAGTAGTGGTCTACTTCCCTTTACCCCTTAAGCTTAGTCAGGGGTTTTTAAGTGGGGCCTGTCCATATAACTATAAACTATGATAAAAGTTCATCAGCATGCATTGGATAATCCCATGTTGTAGCGCAAAAAAAAAAAAATATTGGGACCAAATCATGTGCTCGTGCGACCAGCTGAGAAAGTTAGTTGCAAAAGAATGAGTCTGGAGCCCTGTATAGGCTATACAGTGCATGAAAAGCAACTGGTGCTCTTCTGTTTCTTTTGGTGTATGACTCCCCCTTGTCTCGTATAAAAAGCACAATAATCGCGGTTGTCTGAAACAACCGCGGTTAGATCAAATAATCACGATTAGACAGTTATTTAATTATCGCGACAGGCCTACCTGCATGCTGCTTTGGCTCATTGTAACATAGGCTTCTGAGGATAGCTGTGTTTTTGGCTTGGTTAATGGAAAATCCCTCCTGATTGGCTGGGTTCCCCATTTTGCCGAGTTATGTTAGTGCCCCGAGCCGTCAGTGGCTTCCGTTCCCCACAGTGTCCGCTAGCGGACGCAGCGCGAGAGAACGTCTCGGGTTACGCACATAACCATGGTTCCCCGAGAGGGAACGAGATGCTGCGTCCCATTGCCATGCCTAGGGCTTGCCTGTTTTCACATGTCCTTCAGACATTTGGTGCTGATTCAGCAGGCGCTCTCTTCCGAGCACCCGCCTGTGACATTACGGGCTACATGGGCCAATGGGATTGGAGTTGTTTCACACGTGCTTCAGACACCGGTCCTGCTGGTGGCAGTCCCCATAGTGTCCGCTAGAGGACACAGCGTCTTGGAACCATGGTTACATGTGTAACCCGAAACATTTTGTTTGTTTGTTGTGGGGAGTTTGAGATCCTGGTGAGTGGGTGAGAAATTACATTTCGTATGATTTGGAGTCTTGCGTGTTGTCATGTCAGGGCCTATCTTTGTGATGTTTAACTTAGTTAAGTTATATGACCTTTATTTATCACCACATGACCTGGGAATTTGTTTCCATGACTTTCATGTGATATCGCTATACAATGGCCTCATGAGCTTATTACAGGCACAACCAACCTGGTATTAAGTACTTTGCTCAAGGGCACAATAATGATGGTCTGATCTTTAACCATTACACCACACCATCCACCCAAAGATGCACTGATGTTTCAGGAACTCACCGGTTCAGCGAATGCATTATCCCACAAAACAGTGGCCGTGGCATTGTTGTCTTGACTTCCATGGACAATTACCACCACAGGCAAAGAGAGAGTCTGGGGGAAAAATGTTTGGATGAGAAAAATGAATGAACCAAGTTGTAAATAATATAATATATATATATAAATACTCTTGAGCACCTCAGCGAATGCATTATCCCACAAAACAGTGGCCGTGGCATTGTTGTCTTGACTTCCATGGACAATTACCACCACAGGCAAAGAGAGAGTCTGGGGGAAAAATGTTTGGATGAGAAAAATGAATGAACCAAGTTGTAAATAATAACTATTATATATATATAAATACTCTTGAGCACCAGATTAACACAATGATGTCTGAAGGATCTGGACTGGAGTAATGATGCTGAAAATTCAGCTTTGCCATCACAGGAATAAATTACATTTTAAAATATATTAAAATAGAAGAGTTATTTTAAATTGTAATAATATTTCACAGTATTACTGTTTTACTGTATTTTATATATCTTTGTGGCTAACTATGATGTAATTTTGCTACATTGCTTTAAGCGGTTCCTGACAGATACCATTTACTAGGCACACAACCTCTCAAGCTCACCTTAACCTGAAATACCAGCTCATTTCCCCCAACACTGAACTGTGATTCAAACAAAATGGTAAACTTCTCCTCGGTAACAGACTCCGCCCCTCGACGGTCTGAACGCCTGATCCGCTTCAGAGACTACATGACACATGAGAAAGAAAAGAGAAAATATATATATTTACTTTATTATAAGCAGTTAAATTCCTTCTTCCTATGTAACACGAGTCACTATCACATAAAACACCCCCAAAAAGTACTCAAGCTACATTTACAAATGTCATTCACTGCATACGAATAAGACTGTAAAATTAGATAACAAATTATCTAACCAAGTGTTTATTCTAAATAAAGTTTTAAAAAACATAAGCACTTTTGAAGTGAAATATTTCACAAGTAATTTTTAATTTGGATCATTTTAATTATATAATAAAATATACTGTGGAAATTAAGGCAGGATTGTGTGGATACTTTCTGGTTGACAAATGCACAGAAATACAATTATTTTGTAAAAAGAAACATTAGTGCTCAGATACTACTTGGTTTGATAATTTGTTCATAAATTGTAATCTACTGTACGTCGTCTATACAGCTTATTGTATCATATTTATCTAAAGGTTCACTAAGCAATGACTACTGATTTATATGTCAGGCTTTACAGGGCTAAGTGTTGCTTAAGTGTTAACTGGATTCATTTCTGATGCATAACCGAGAATAGAACTCTCTAAGCAGGTACAGAGTAAATTATGAATAAACTTAAATGGTGGCTGACAGTGTACTTAGAAACCCCTTCAGTCAAGTTCACACACTCATCTTACAGAGTTTTCTCTAAAGTCAGATTTTAGACGGCCACACAGCACTTACCATGTTTCTAAAGTGTGCACTGAGAGTGCCTGTGGTCTGGTGGTACTCCATCACACAGTTGTTATTCAAGATCTCACCACTGCTGTCACTGTTAGACAGACACATACAAACACAGAGAATATTATTCTGCATAGTCGTACAAAAGGTGATGGGGGTGTGAATCGCCACTGGTTTCACAATTCGATTCGATTACGATTATCAAGTCAACGATTCGATTCAATTCGATATCACGATGCATCACGATTATATATCAAATTTATCTTGAGCATTTTTATTTAAAAAAATAAGCAGGCTACTTTTTAAAATAAATACAAATTAATAATAAATCAAAACAATTGCTAAGAACTTAACCAAATAAATATAGCTTCAAAACAGACAAGCAAATATAAAGTAATAAAGGGGGAAAAAGACAATTACAAGTGATAAACAAAAAGTACTTTCAGTATCTGAGAGTGCTTTAAGTATCCGAAAGTTTACAGACTATCATAGTTATGGGTTTTTCTTTTTTTCCTCAGCATTATTACTGTTTGATTATTACTGATGAGATCATAGACAGTGGCAGCTTTAATAGGCTGTATTCACACTAATGCACAGATCTATTTCGACAGATGTTTTGTCCTGTTCTGAAAACATAACTGACTGTGTTTACATCAATTTCGTATCATAAAAGTATTCGAAGATGCAAGTACATTTAACCGCAGCCGCGATCAAGCTTCAGGACAAACAAACACAAAGCAAACGTGAAAGTCTGTCAGTACGAGAGTTTCGTGCATCTAATACGTACTGCATTCCAAACGGAGTCAATGAAAGCACATCTGAAGTAAAACACTGAAACAACATGTTTTTTTTCCCGCACTAAGCTTGCTTTTTCCAAAATGTGCCCAAATCTCGGATTTAAAAATAGTGGGTACTTTTTTTAATACTTGCGTTACAAGCGTGTATGTGAATGACCTCAGTAGGCTATAATCAATTATGGTCTATTACATCGATGGAACGATTAATTTCAACACCCCTAGAAGGTGATGAGCAATTTAACTAAGATCAAGGTCCATTAAGTGACAAATTCAGGTAAAAATTGTCTTTGTGCATAAAAATTGTGTGTTAGTGACAGTGGCGTAACTTTCCTTTGAAAAGTGGTGGGGACACCGCGCAACTCGTTTTGCTAGTTTTTTTATTTAATAACCTAATTTACTTGGGGACTGGGTTTAGAGTTGGACAAACTTAATTTTTGCTTTTTAAAAATACATCGATGTACCAGGGGCGGCGCCAGAGAATTTTGAATGCAGGTGCTGAGGGGGTGCTAGATCATTGACAGGGGGAGCTGGGCAGACTCATTCTTCCCACTGGTCGCTCTTTTGCGATGAACTTTCTCAGTTGGTTGCACGAGCACGTTTTTTTTTTCTTCTTCTTTGCGCTACAACATGCTATTAATCAATGCATGCTGATGAACTTT